ACAGTGGCTCACATCTATAATTCTGACACTTTGGGAGGCCAAGGTGGTAGGATCAACTGAATCCAGGAGATTAAGACCAGTCTGGGCAGGATAGTGACCCCATCTCTATTTAGAAAATTAAAATTTAAAATAAAAAATAAATAGGCTGGCGGTGGCTCTGGCCTGTAATCCCAGCACTTTGGGAAGCCAAGGCGGGCAGATCATGAGGTCAGGAGTTCAAGACCAGCCCGACAAACATAGCAACACCCCGTCTCTACTAAAAATACAAAAAGTAGCCGGGCGTGGTGGCACACACCTGTAATCCCAGCTACTCAGGGGGCTGAGGTAGGAGAATCGCTTGAACCTGGGAGGTGGAGGTTGCAGTGAGCCGAGATTATGCCACTGCACTACAGCCTGACGACAAAGTGAGACTCCGTCTCAAATAAAAAAAGAAAGAAAAAAACCAGCACATACACCATCACTGACTAACAATAAAAACAGGAAAGATGTCACTCATTAACCCATTTATGCCAGAGATTGCAACTTTTTGAATTGTTGCATGAGTAAAAACATCAGACCTTGGTGATGACCTTGAGCAGTACGATGTAAAAACTCCCACATGCTTAGCGTTCCAATAATGGAACACTAGGCATAAGTGGGTTAATGTTTTCCTATGGCAAAGATTAAATTTGAATTTCTGGTCATGAAATTAAAACAAGGGTACCACTTCAAATCCATCAGATTGGCAAAAATAAAAGTCTGGTAGTATCTAGTGTTGGTAAATGTGAGGAACAGGAACTCTGCACACTGCTGGGCGTGTAAATTGATGCAACCACACTGGAGAACCCTTTGCCAACATCTAGCAAGATGGAAGATGAATACACCTCAGGACCCAGAACAAGCTCTCCTGCATTTGCCCTGCAGAAACTCTTCTAAGCATCTGGGAGACACAGGATATTTACTGTAGCAGGGGATAATAGTGAAAACGAAATAATATAACTGTCCCTCAGTAGATAAACACACTGGGCACTTAAGACAAATGGACTAGAATTGGATGTATCAACAGAAATAAATCTCACAACCGTGAGTGAAAAAGGATCCATGTAATGGAACTGAAGTCATATAAACTTAAACATTATTTATACACTGATGCAGAGTTTTAAAAGTACAAAAAGGCCTGGAGGTGGCTCACGCCTTATAATCCCAGCATTTGGAAGGCCCAAGTGGGAGGAGGTAAGGGGATCACCTGAAACCAGGAGTTTCAGAGCAGCCCTGGCAACACAGAGAACCTGTCTCTACAAAGAAAAAAAAAAAAAGCTGGGTACCGCCTGTGCTCCCAGCTACTTACTACTCGGGAGGCTGAGGTGGGAACCATATCGCTTAAGTCTGGGTGGCTGAGGCTGCTGTGAGCCATGGTCGCACCACTGCACACCAGCCTGGGAGACAAAGCAAGACCCTGCCATGAACCAAACAATGAATGAATGAATGAATGAATGAATGAATGAATGAACGAACAAAAAAATGTGCAGGAGAATCCAAAAGAGGAGCAGCAGACAGGGAATACAATGGCCCCTGGAAGAACCAGTAAACAGGCACAGGAGTGGTCTGTAGAGGCAGAGGATAAGGCTTGAAGCTAAAAACGAGATTAGTTAAAAGTCTAAACACAGGGCTGGGCACAGTGGCTCACGCCTGTAATCCCAACACTTTGGGAGGCCAAGGCAAGTTCAAGACCAGCCTGGCCCACAATGGTGAAACCCTGTCCTCTACTAACACATAATACCAAAATTAGCCAGGTCAGGTGGTGCGTGCCTGTAATCCCAAAGCCTACTCGGGAAGGTCTGAGGCAGCAGCACCTGCTTGAACCTGGGAGATTGTGCCACCGCCACTCCAGCCTGGGTGACAGAGTGACGACTCTGTAAAAAAAAAAAAAAAAAAAGTCTAAACACAGAGTGGAATTTGATCCCTAAACCTCCTACCCCACACAAGCTAGGGTAAATATAAACTTTAACAACCATGCCAGGGCGCAAGGTTTGCCTCCCACACACTCTTTCTCAGGCAGCCTGGGACCAGACATAGAGACTGCTGCCTGCCACCCTGATGTCCCAGAGGCACAACACATCTGTACATGCCTCCCCTAGACTCAACTGCCTGCCACCCCAACCATCTCCCTTTACATGTACCATGTGGAAGTGCCCAGTAAATATCACTCAACAGCACATTTTTCCAATAATTTCCTTACACCAGGCCATCAAAAAGAGGCAGCAGACCGGGCGCAGTGGCTCATACCTGTAATCCCAGCACTTTGGGAGGCTGAGGTGGGCAGATCACAAGGTCAGGAGTTCCAGACCAGCCTGGCCAACGTGGCGAAACTCCCATCTCTACTAAAAATACAAAAATTAGCTGGGTGTGGAGGTGCATGCCTGTAATCACAGCTACTCAAGAGGCTGAGGCAGGAGAATCGCTTGAACACAGGAAGCGGAGGTTGCAGTGAGTTGAGATCTTGCCACTGCACTCCAGCCTGGATGAGAGAGTGAGACTCCGCCTCAAAAAAAAAAAAAAAAAAAGAGAAAAGGATAAGAAGTGGCATACCTGTAACTCCTCCTCTCAATGTTTCAGTCCATATCTCGAAAGGAAGGTGTATTATTCCACACAACTATAACTCATTAACAGATTTAAGAAAATCACCCCCACCCCCACGTGGTGGCTCACACCTGTAATCCTACCACTTTGGGAGGCTGAGGCGGATCACCTGAGGTGGGAGTTCGAAAACCAGCCTGGCTAACATGGTGAAATCCCGTCTCTACTAAAAATAATTTTTTAAAATGCCAGGTGTGGTGATGGGCACCAGCAATCCCAGCTACTTGGGAGGCTGAGACAGGAGAATTGCTTGAACCTGGGAGGTGGAGGGTGCACCACGGCACTCCAGCCTGGGCGACAGAGGGAAAGTCTGTCTTTAAAAAAAAAAAAAAGAAAAGAAAAGAAAGAAAGAAAGAGAACATCACCGACAGACATCCCAAGGCACCCCTGAAACGTGATCTCCCTTCATTTCCCAATCCAACCAAGAGCAACAGAAAATATCTGTTACCCCTAAAATGGGGGCAACTTATCTTCCAACTCCCAGGTCCAGCAGCCAGGGAAAGAACAGAACCTGCCTAGGAGAAGAGCCTCACCAAACTGCTAAATCAGCACCACATGGGCCGCTTCAACCTGGAGCCAAAGGGCTGCCACCCCTCGCCGCCCGACCAGTTGACAACAGGGCTGTCCTGAGCCAACATCCAGGAGAGCTGTTGGGGCGAGAGCTGTGCCAGGGCCGTGTCTGGTCTGCGTTGCCACCTGGGCCAAGAGACCTGTGCCTTTCCACCAGGGGGTACCCCAGCTCCGGGACAAATGACCAAAAAGGAGGGGAAGCCTCTGCTCTCCAGGAGACGTCTGACTCTGTCTTTCGGAAAGCGACACAGGGTGGGCGGCCCAGCCCCTTTCTCCAGTTGCTGGCGGGTTCTAAGTCACCATCACCAACAAGAAACAGTTCTCCGCCAGGCCAGGCATGGTGACTCATGGGGAGGCCGCGGCAGGCAGATCACCTGAGGTCAGGAGTTCGAGATCTGCCTGGTCAACATGGTTAAAACTCATCTCTACTAAAAATACAAAAATTAGCTGGGTGTGGTGGCAGGCACCTGTAATCCCAGCTACTCGGGAGGCTGAGGCAGGAGAATAGCTTGAATCTGGGAGGCGGAAGTTACAGTGAGCCGAGATTGCGGCACTGCACTCCAGCCTGGGAGACCGAGCGAGACTCCATCTCAAAAAAAAAAAAAAAAAAAGAACCGATGTTATGGAAGAGAAAGAGCAGCCCTCAACCAAGCCAACGCCCTCTTAGGCCTCTTCGCCTTACCTTCCTGAACGTTTGGATTGAAAGAGGGTGCATCTCAGCTATCCTCTCCTCCGGCGGGAGGAAGTGGGGATCAGTTTTTCTAGGCTACAAAAACGTGCCAGGTCTGCCTTTGAGCCCCACAGCATCGCTTCTCCAGTGGGTTTGGGGGTCTCTCCTCCGTTAGGAGGAGGGGTGTAGGGCCTGCGCTAGGATCCTTTTCCTTGCCAGCCTGCTGGCTTCCTCGATGCCTGGGGAAGGGGGTGACAGAGGCCCACCAAGAAGCCAAGTGCAATTCACTTCCAGCTGGGTCACCCACCCCAGCCTGCCTGCAGCGCCCCACACCCAGGCACCTACTGCTCCCCAGAGGCCAACTCCCCCTGGCCTCCAGGGCTACTAACCGAGGGGGAGGTAGGGCCCCAGGGACTCTGCCCGGCTTCCCTTTACTGGATTCCAGGGGCAGGGAGCGTCCCTGGCCTTCTCCCCACCCTGCATCCAATCGCCCATTCGCCTCTTGGTTTCGCAGCTTGGTTTCTCTTCCTGTTTATGGATTTAACTCCGTGCGGGTTCCTCCCCAGCCCACCCAGTGCCAGATCCCTGTCCTTCAACAGGACCTGTCTTCTGGGGTCCCAGGAATTGTGTGGGATCTTGCGCAGAAAGTTGGCCAGGCAAATCCTTTGGAACGAGGGGGAAATAAACCGAAAATAGATGCCGGCAGATGCGGTAATCTCGGCAGTTTGTCCCGGGGACACCGAGGCCCAGGCGCTGGGAGCGCGATCCCAGGCAGCAGCCTCCGGACCTAGCCGAGCTCTTCCTCGCAGGCGCCTCCCTCGGGGCTCCTGGCCGCGTCCCCGCTCCGGGGGCCGGGGTCCCGCGCACAGCCCGGGGAGGGGAGCAGAGGGGAGGGGGCTGGCGGGCGCGCGGGCGGGGCTGTTTTCTGCTTTTCTCGTCTACGCTTCGGAGTGCGCGAGCTCCCACCCCAGCCCGCCCGTCAGGGTCAGTCCCGAGGGTCCTGGCTCCCCACCTGCCCCCAGGAACGCCGCGGGGCCGCGCCTAGGCCCGACTGGGGACGCAGAAGAACCCGTCTCGGCGGCCGGTGGCACCGTCCCCGCCAAGGTCACTTCCGCCGCGGTGACCCCGCGCTCCCGGCACTCACCGAACGCTGCCGCCGAGAGTCTGCAGCCCAGCCTGCGCGCTGCGGAGCCGGTGCCGTTGCTGGAGCCCTGCAGCCGCCGTAGCCTGGGCCAGCCCCGGCCCTAAGTACCCTCCCGGTCGTGCGCCACGTGACTACCGCGCAGCCCCGCCCGTGCCCTCCCGCTGCCCGCGCACCCCGCTTCCCAGCCCCCACCCCCCCCGCCACCTTCCGCCGCCCGCGCTCCCCTCTTCCCGGCCCCGCACCCCCGCACCCCTTCCGCCGGGGGTCCGGGGACACCGCCGGGGAGGGCGGGGGCCTGAGCGCGCGGGTTGGGGAAGAGGGGCTTGGAGCCCTGCGGGCCCTGGGTGGCGAAACGCTGCGAATTGGGGCCAGGGGATGGGGAAAAAGCCCCTAAAGGTGGTCCCAAAGCCCCCACCCCACCTAGAAAAGTCCCCCCGCTTCGCGGGACCGCTTCCGCCAGAACCGGCGCCGGGGATCCCTGCCTGCCGGGTTGGCGGGGGCGGGGTGGGGGAGAGGGCGCCGTCGCTTATTTCATTCATTCAGAAGCCGCTGCAGGGGCTGGGGGTGGCGAGGCTGTGGACCCTACAGAACAGTCTTTAAAAGCTCCACTTTGTTGTTCTGAGAACGTACCCACAAAACACTCCAGCTACGTACAAATAGAAAAGGGTGGCTGTCACCGCGAAGGAACCTAGGAGCTGCGTCAGGATTTCTACAGAGGAGAAGGACCTTGGGGGGCGGAAATCGGCTTGGCACAGGAGTCCCGGGAGACCTGCTCCGAGAGGACTGACAAAGTGCACATTTACTTGGAGTTTATTAGTGGGAGGGCCTGGAGGGGAGATGCTGGGGTTGGCTCAAGACACCCGCCTCCAGACCCTCCCCAAACAGCTCTAATCCTAAAGACAAACCTGCAAGGCAGGCATGACCCCTGTATTCAAGAGGCTCAAAGGGGCTGGGCGCGGTGGCTCACGCCTGTAATCCCAGCACTTTGGGAGGCCGAGGCGGGCGGATCACCTGAGGTTGGGAGTTCAAGACCAGCCTGACCAACATGGAGAAACTCCGGCTCTACTAAAAATACAAAATTAGCCGGGCGTGGTGGCGCATGTCTGTAATCCCAGCTACTCGGAAGGCTGAGGCAGGAGAATCACTTGAACCCGGGAGGCGGAGGTTGCGGTGACCCGAGATCTCGCCATTGCACTCCAGCCTGAGCAATAAGAGTGAAACTCTGCCTCAAAAAAAAAAAAAAAAGTTCAGAAGAATCATCGTATTTTATCCAGGCTGTGGCGACAGTAAGAAGGTAGTAGGACTCCAAGGGACGTGGCTCCCTGCAGCCCAGTCGTCAGCTGTCACACAGCCCTGAGCCTGCCAGGGTCTTCAGAGTCATACCTGTATTCCCGCCCGGTTAGTACCAAACTAAGGATAGGAGTGGAAGGAAAAAATAATCTCTGGAGCCCAAGCATGGTCACTAAGCCCCCAGCGGAGTGGGATACCCAAGGAACTGAGGACCAGAAGGCTGGAGGTCAAGGTGGTCCCAACTGCCTGCTCACCCTAGTCCTATCCTGAGGGCCATGGACTCCAGACTCCAAATCAGTGCTGGGGCATGCTGTCTTCCATATGGATGTCAAATCATTTCAGACCTCTATAAAGAACTCATAAGATAGCCGAAATGGGGAGGACACAGCCAGAACCAGCATAACTCTTTCCCCTCTTGCATCCTTAGAGTGTGACAGGAGGTATGCAGAGCAGAGTGCTTGATATGCATTATGGCTGTTTGATGGCATTTTCTATTAGTGTCACATAAATCACTTTTGAGAGGTAAAAATAACTTTTGAAACAAAAGAAACAGGCTATGTGTGGTGGCTCACGCCTGTAATCCCAGCACTTTGGGAGGCTGAGGCATGCGGATCACCTGAGGTCACGAGTTCCAGACCAGCCTGGCCCAAATGGTGAAACCCAGTCTCTACTAAAAATACAAAAATTGGCCGGGCGTGGTGGTGCATGTGCCTGTAATCCCAGCTACTTGAGAGGCTGAGGCAGGAGATTTGCTTGAGCCTGGGAAGTGGAGGTTGCGGTGAGCCAAGATCACGCCATTGCACTCCAACCTGGGCAAGACTCTCTCTCAAAAAAAAAAAAAAAGAAAGAAAAGAAATAAGCTGGACACAGTGGCTTAGACCTGTAGTCCCAGCACTTTGGGAGGCTGAGGCGGGCGGATCACGAGGTCAGGAGTTCAAGACCAGCCTGACCAACATGGTGAAACCTCGTCTCTACTAAAAATATAAAAATTAGCTGAGTGTGGTGGCGTATGCCCATAATCCCAACTATTCGAGAGGCCGAAGCAGGAGGATCCCTTGAACCAGGGAGTCAGAGGTTGTAGTGAACTGAGATCACGCTATTGCATTCCAACCTGGGCAAGACTCTATCTCAAAGAAAATAAAAGAAATAAATTACTACCGGAGTAGAATTCATCCCTTCCTGGGACATCTAGGAAAGCTTCATGGAGAAAGGAACGTACAGCATATTTACTTGTGTATGTTCCTTCCTGCCTTCACTGGATCTTAAGCGCCACCTGGGCAAGGATTTTTACCTGTGTTGTTCCCCCGCTTCATCCCAGCACATTGCAGGCTGTCTGGCCCATAGCAGAGGATGGAGAAATGTGCGTTGAGTGGATGTGTAATGAATGAAGTAGGCCTTGAAGTTGAGGAGAATTTTGGCTTAACCTGCTAGATTTGGGGATCAGGGCCTGGGGAACAGCTCTCAGAACTTACAGAGAGACCTGACTTACATGTGTAAAAGCTGTTTGCTTGAGAACATCTGTAAAAGAGACCCAAGTTAACACCTGAAAGAGATGAAAACATATGTCCTCACAAAAATCCACCAGGCACAGTGGGCTCACGCCCGTAATCCCAGCACTTTGGGAGGCGGAGGTGGGCGGATTGCTTGAGCCTAGGAGTTCAAGACCAGCTTGGGCAACATAGTGAGACCCCCATCTCTAAACCAAAAGTTAATAACATATATATATAAACTTGCACCAGATATTTATAGCAGCATTATTTACAATAACCAAAAGGTGAAAACAACTCAAATGTCCATCCATTAAAAACCATTGCACGAATAAACAGTCATAAATGCACCAAATGGAGTATTATTATTCCGTTGTAAAAAGGAATGAAGTAGTGACACACGCTGCATCGATAAACCTTGAAAACATTTGCTAAGTAAAATAAGCTAGGCCCAAAGGACCCCGTGTTGTATGATTCCATGAAATCCTCAGAATAGGCAAATCTATAGATAGCAACTAGATTCATAATTGCCTTTAGCCTGGGGGAGTGCACATGGGAGGTTAGGTAGGTGACAGCTAAAAGGTGTGGGGTTTCTCTGGGGGCTAATATGAATTTTTTTTTTTTTTTTGAGACAGTCTTGCTCTGTCATCCAGGCTGGCGTGCAGTGGCACGATCTCGCCTCACTGCAACCTCCGCCTCCTGGGTTCAAGCAGTTCTCCTGCCTCAGCCTCCTGAGTAACTGGGATTACAGGCACCCGCCAGCATGCCCAGCTAATTTTTGTATTTTTAGGAGAGATGAGGTTTCACCATGTTGGCCAGGCTGGTCTCAATCTCCTGACGTCGTGATCCACCTGCCTTGGCCCCCCAAAGTGCTGGGATTACAGGCATGAGCCACCGCGCCTGGCCATGAATGTTCTAAAATTGATTTGTGATGATGATTGCACAACTCTGTGAATATACTAAAAATGATTAAACTGTGCACTTTAAAGGATGAATATTTATGTCAATTCTATCTCAGTAAAGCTGTTACCAAAAACAAACAAACAAAAACAAAAACTAAAAAACAAAAAGTTGATTTTGGAAGTCCTGAAAACAACTCTTCCCGCCCCCACCCTCTAAATGAGACCCTATTAAGAGGTCTCTTTTCTGAGGAAATGCCCGATTTGTTCTCCTTTATTTTACAAACCCTTGTAAATCTGATTGCCTCTGACCTCCAACAGTTTCTAAATCCCGGGAAGTGAGACTGTGGTGAACGGTTTTTAATGGATGGCCTCTGTAGATATGCAGGGGGTTCTTCTGTAGTTGACAATTGGAGTCTGACGGTTTTGGGATGGCCAGTTCTTTCTCCCAGGTACGGGCTCCACAGAGTGCCTCCTGGTAAGAGTGAATCCTCTCTAACCTCTCTTTCCTCCCAGTTAGTGCTTAAACCCATTAGTTCAAATTTGCTTAGAGTGCAAGGTCTTGTAAGATCAGACCAACCTTCTTACCCAAATCTGTTTAAAATAGGCCAGGCACAGTGGCTCACGCCTGTAATCCCAGCACTTTGGGAGGCCGAGGCAGGCGGATTGCTTGAGCCCAGGAGTTTGAGACCAGCCTGGCCAACATGATGAAACCGCATCTCTATAAGAATACAAAAATTAGCTGAATGTGGTGGCGCACGCCTGTAGTCCCAGCTCCTGGGGAGGTTGAGGCGGAATTGCATAAACCCAGGAAACAGAGGTGGTAGTGAGCTGAGATGGCGCCACCACACTTCAGCCTGGGCGACAGATTGAGTCTCCATCTCAAAAAAAAAAGAAAAAAAACAACTTTTCCTCCAGGCCTTTCATGAGCCTGAAGGGTTGATTTCCTGCGACCTCCAGCAGATGGAAGGAATGTGTCTTTGGAGGAGCATTTCTCACCTCCCTTGACACCCCCCAATTCATCTAAACCCACAGGTTTGGAACTACTATGAAGCAGAGCTTCCTGTCGGGCTTGGGGAAAAGGTTTAAACATTCCCTTGCACAGGGTCTCCTTTCCCAACACTCTCATTTTACTCCTCACAGCCAGGGTGAGGAAAAAAAAAAAAAATGAGACCCCGAAATCCTGGCTTGGATCCTAGTCCCACAGTTACATCCCTCTCCCAGTGTCAGAACACGGTGTTGTGAGGAATACATTTCAGTTGGATTTTATAGGAGACACCAGCCACATGGCTTACAGATACAGCGTGCGCTGGTCACAAAGCCCCTCCCATTTTCTAATACGCACGGCCAGATACGCTGGAGGTTCTAATCTTACAAAAAACATTGACAGTAGTAAAAGCTGGCAAGTATGTGGTACAGTGGAAGTTCTCATATGTTGTTGGTGGGAGAACGAGAGT